TAAGGAGTTATGTATGTAAAATAAGAATTCTAAGTGCAATATTTATAGTAACTCATTTTAACTTGGCTTTTTCTCTGAAGTTGTTTCACTACATTGATTTCTGCATTATTATCTGTGCTTAATAAAATATTTAAAGATTAAGTCATACACCAACTAGTTATTCATTGTGTATGAAGTGGGGCAGGCTAAACACAAACTCTTTTTTGATTATTTACATGCTTTTGATGGTTTGGGTCTTGTGTGGTATGACTGCCACTACACTTCCTTGTTTATTAAGGACCTGATTTTTCTTCCATTGAAGTCAGGGAATAACTGACTGGAATCAGAACTGGATTTTTCTCTTCAAAGAATTAGACAACTGTAAAGCAGCACCGCGCTTCTCTCTGCTGATGACTCTGATCTACTCCATAAATGTCACTATGGAATTCCATTAGGTAGTTAGCAAGGAGGAAGGCAGGAATTAATTAAGTGGCAGTGAAGTACACATGAAAGTAGGTTAAATTTTTGCCCCTACTGTGAAAGGACGGACAACCCAGCACTGTTCAGTCTGGCACAGGCAGCATCCATAGTAGCGTATCTCATTGATTTCATTCCTGTCTGCAAAGGGTTGAACAAGCAGCTGCTTTGGCCATCAGGGAGGGACCAGGCTGGAAGCAGTTAGGACACTGTAAGAGCGTTGAGAGATCTTTGTCAGGCCTGGCTGCTGTATGCAGTTATTTGTTCCTGAAAGGCTGTAGCTAACCAAAGAGGGGGTGGGAATGGAAACAGATGGGATGTAAAGATTTGTGCTGTGAAGTTAAAGAATGTTCTGGTCAAAAGCAGGCCTGACATACATGCTCTTCAGACTGGGTAGAACACTAATAAAAATGATGTGGAGGGAATAGAATCTAAGCTCCTTGTTTTCCTTGTAGAAGAACTCACTTCTCTGGGTAACGTGTAAGCATGGGCAGGAAACTAATGACACCCACAGTCACTACTGGAAGTATTCGCTGCTTCTTTCAGTGGTGGAATGTGGATTACCATTCTTCTCTAATTACTGATTCTCCTGTGCAACTCTGCTGCCCAGCAGTCTCCGTTCTGAAGACACAACGGGTAGCCAGGCTGGAGACAATGACCCAGCGGGAGGCACAAAGGTACAGAAAAGCGGTTCGGGCAGCCCACAAGCAGCTCGGTGCTGTCACCACACTGTACCGACAGCTAGGCCTTTGCCTTGCTGACTAAACCAAACGGCATCTCTCTGTGGAAATGACAGCAACATTTGCTTGCAAAGCAGATCAGTTTTGTAATTTTAAAATTTTCAAATGGTATTTTTAGTTTTCCAGTATTGATCCCTGTTGTGGTTTAACCTTATCTAGCAATTAAATACCACAGAGTTGCTCACTCCCCTCCCCCCCCATCCTCCCCCAGTGCAGGAAGAGAGTCAAAGACAAAGAAGCTCATAAAGTTGAGATAAGAACTACTTAATAATATAAATGAAAATTATAGTGTAATTAAAAGTAAGTAACTGAAATAATAGAAAAAAGAACATGTGATAGAGTAGCTCACCACCTGCTGATTGACACACAGCCAGGTCTCAGAGAACTGAGAGTTGGAGCCTGAGAGCCCGAAAAGCCAGACCCCCAGGGCGACAACAGTACTGTGACAAAAGCCAGCTGACCCCCAGCCCACTAACAGAGGAACCTGCCCCACCTCTAACAACTAATGACCCTAAGAGCTAACGACCCAGTTATCAAGCCAGCCAAAGTCTTAACGCCCTCCCTCACCCTGGCCACCGGCCAGCTCCCTCCTCCCCGCTCAGCACCTCCTGTGCACTGAGCCTGACCACCATTCAATGAAATATTCCTTCAGCCAGCCGTGCACTGCGAGAAAATTAACTCTTTCCTGCCCAAAACCAGCACAATTCCTGTGCAGATTAAGGGCTTGATGCATGGTGCTCTCCATGTTTCGCAGCAGCAGCATGGGGAGAAACAACATGGAAATCTTGCTCGGAACTGTCTTGAACTACAATAATCTCTTTCTTTATGGCCATCTGTCACACAGCATTTTTCAGTGAGAGGAAAGTCTGCAAGCCTGCCTCTTTCCTGCCCAAAACCAGCACAATTCCTGTGCAGATTAAGGGCTTGATGCATGGTGCTCTCCATGTTTCGCAGCAGCAGCATGGGGAGAAACAACATGGAAATCTTGCTCGGAACTGTCTTGAACTACAATAATCTCTTTCTTTATGGCCATCTGTCACACAGCATTTTTCAGTGAGAGGAAAGTCTGCAAGCCTGCTCCGCCTCTCCAAATGGTATGTAGGTTGGGAAAGCTCCTGCCTGCTCTTCTCAGCGCTCCCTTTCGACGAGTTTCTTTCCCAAATCAAAGCACTGACAGCAGCAGCCGTGCAACAGGGAACAGGAGCTAGGACTTCAACACAGAGCAGGGTTTTCTCAAGTCAGAATCAGTTAAAAAACAGAGGAAACAATTGTTTTTGAAAGTAGATGTAGTGACAATAAACCTCAGACATTTAAACTCCAACCTGCAACCACCGTCAAAATTATCTAACTGCAACACAGTTTCTGAAGTTATTTAAACAGAAATCACAATCAAACCCAGTTTAGCAAGAGCATAAAGTAAGCTGACTTTCAGTAATGAATGGTTTTGACCTTTCTGCTGCAAATGGAAGTAACATGAAAATCTCCATTTTTCATTCATCAAGGCAAAGTTAGCTTTAAGACAAGACAGGCATTAACATGACAGGAAAGTAAAATCATCTTTTTTCAGTTGTCTCAAAAAACCCCATTTACTCCTTTAGTGACTTGCACCACGATTTGTACAAAGTCTGAATCTTACATCCAAGTAAACCTCCAGCTTTTTGAAATGTTACTGTTGGGTTTTTTTGGTGACATCCCAGTTTAAAGAAGTGTTGCAGACACTTAAAAAGTTTTGTCTCTGGGCATGTCCAGAACTGTTCTGTGAGTGTGCACCGGGAGATCTCGGAGCCCCGACATCTGCAGACTGCCTCTGGAAGAGCCCCGACTGAACTGCCGAATGAGAAAGCAAGAGCATGTTTAATACCATCTACATGTTCCTGGTTCAGGTGTAGACAAGACTGAACAGGACAAAGCACTGCGAACTGATGCGTAGCCAAGCAGGCAGGAAGACTGCAACAGCTTTCAAAGAAGGCAGAGGTGCCAAGTGCCACACAATTAAGCTACTCCAGAGAACAAACCTCTCTCTCTGCTATCCATCCCTTTACAGGTATGTATTTCAGGGACAAATAGGAACTCTCAAGCCCCAGTTCTAATCTGAACCTCCTATAAAAGTGCCTGGAAATAAGACAGTTCTTCCTAAGGACACGTCTACACTGTAGCAGAACAAAGTGCCACGCAACAATGACCACGCTAGCTCTGAGTGACTCTGCCTAACATACGGAAAGCCATTGGAAACAGCTCCGTTAGCGTGCTGTTTCACACAGATAAACACACTCAACTTCCCAAAGGAACTAACTGGCGTGAGCCGAGTGCCACGCAGCTAACAGTGCACCCAGAATCCAATCTAACTTGCTTGCCACTAGCTCAGGCATCGCTTCGTGACACTGCATGAAGCCACTTAAATGAACTTAAAAGTTAACAGGATGGTTCCACTAGGAAGAAAGGTAACAACACATTAATAGAGAAGCTGCCTTCCTTAAACATGACAAAAAACCTACTTTCAATATGGTACCTGAAAACGAGTTACAAATATGACTAGTATTAACACAACCATATTTTTCAAAGAGCTTTTATTTGTCTGCTTCCTTTCTTGGATGTACATAACATACACAGCACATTGGTTTTATGTCAGTGTATTATTCAAACATGAGATCTGAGTCCAAATACAAAATTCAGTGGTCCTCTTTGCTTTGAACACGAGAGGTTAAGCTTCTTACTCACATGAAAAGCCAAAGAGACTCACCAGAATACCTCTATACCATAAGGCTTCTGGAAGCAGAGTATTAAACCCTAGTTCAGATATACATAATTTCATAGTACAGAAAATATATTACCTTTACAAGAAAGAGCTTTATAAGAATTCCTTCAAAAAAGTAAACATTCATGTAAGCCCCATTCTATCAACCTCCCAAAGTCAGCTGTAGTGAAAAACCACTATGGCTACCTGCGCCCTCTGGACATAAGACCATGTTAGAAGAGCACCATCGTAACAGTAAAACTGTCAATCAATCCTTTAGCTGTCATAAATACACTTGTTTTGTACTTAAAAATACAGGAATCTCACACTTCTCCATGACAACTTGTCAACTTGAATTATATATAAGCATATGAAGCCATATAGGACCCTGTAGCACAGAAAATCCACAAAGCCCTTATTGACCGTTGTGAGCAAAGTCAAATCACATTTTCACAAAACGTAGTATTCCTGACACAAAAAAAATGTTTAGCTTGGAAACAACTGTGGTTAAAAAAAAGAAAAAGAAAAACAAGTTTAAAAGTAGGATATGTAAATCCTGTCTAAAGCATGCCCTTCTAAACTACATCTGTCCAGTGACCAGACGTACGCGCAGAACGGTACGTTCAGAACAGGTACCTTCGCACAAAAAGGAACGTACAGTGGCTCACAGAAGTGTTCAGCATTACAAACTGCACTCACATACTCCACCTCATTTTTGTTAAATCAAAGGTTTTAATAATTCAAATAATATATCATCCAGGTTTTTAAAACACAAGCTATTAAACATGAAAAATTCACAGGTCACTTTTAAAATTCTGTTCCCAATCTTTAACATGTCCAGCAAAATGTACTTTTGAGCCACTGCTGATAAATCCAAGCAGGAACTGATTGTCTTACATGTAACCATAAACATTCAAGATGTGGTTGGTCTACTCTGAGTTCAAAATGTCCCACAAAAGGGAAGTTTTGATGATTTGGTTTTCTGTGTTCTATAAATGTTAACATACAAAACTTCACATTAGAATTGCCTCTTTCAGAGCCACACAGTCGTTGCACGTACTGTAACCTACAGTCAAACATAATTTCCAGCTGTGCTGGAAATTGTCTATTATTCTATATATCACTTTTCTATTAAAAATAAACATAGGCTGGATTTTTTTTTAAAAAGCCTATCTTCTCCCACAGCTTGGAAAACAAGTATCAAAAGGAACAAACAGCAAAAATAGAAGAAATAAACACATTGTGCTAGTTACGAAGCTCTGACACCTGACAGCCACGGTCTGAGAAACATTAAAAAATTCCTATATACAAATTTATATACACACCAAGATTAAGAGCTTGAGAAAATTACTAGATCTGGATTTGCATTTATGTCCACCATCTAGCTGCAACTCATGCAAATGCATTTTCAAATGTATTATTGTGCAATAATCTTGTTTTCTATTTGGTCTGGCATCAGAATTAGGTCAACACTTTCACCCACAGGTATCTAACAGCACACACTTCTGTTTAAAAGTTAGGCCTTAGTTTCTTGGATAAAACATAGCATATTTAGAAGTTCGAAAGCCAAGCAGGTCCCTCATTTCATTTCGGAATTTTGACAAGTCTTGCCGCAGCTCATTTAGGTTTTCCACAGTTGCCTGATCTGTGCTTTGCATCTTCTGTCTCATGGAAGTCAAGTAACGGTGGACTAAGCAACACATCACCTTTTGATAATTCTCATCTCTTTTTTGCTTCAGATTTCTCCATTCCTTTAAACAAACATTACACAATTACTATGGAAAAGTGGTATTTCAGCCTGTATACATTTATACAGAAACTAAACATGAACACAATAAAAAAGTTATTTTATATATACCCCCTGATGTGCACAAATGTACTATGCATGTAAACTGCCAGCAAAATTTAAATTAAATTAGTCTGCTGTACCAGCAAATCGGAAAGTTTTTCATCTACCTGGCTTGATAATCATCCTATGAGCAATTAAGAGTTCCGTAATCCTAAATGTGCATTCCATAAAGTCTTTGTATTTGGTTTATTTAATGCTATTTTTGTCAGCAAGAAGATGCAAAATTATTATGCAAAATTACAAGGTACAGTAAAACCATCTATTTAACAACAACAAACCCCTCCCCCGAGGCTTCAGTAATCCTTTCTGGTTATTTATTTTGACACCTCTGTAACATGTTTAAAGCCAATTACCTTCCCCAAAGAATACCCTAACCTCACCATTCGAGATTAGCACATACTTCCTTGAGGTTTCTGTGAGCTTTCCATCAATCAAAGCATTTTTTTCGAGACTATTTCTGGGAGAACTGGGGGTTGGAGGGAAGGGGGTTGAAATTCCCAAAACAGACTATCAGTAGAATCTTACTTAAGCAGAAAGAGGTAACGCTCACTTACTTACATTTGGATGCAACAGATGTTATTCTACAGTTCCTATTTATCTGAGTAGCACTCACCATGTGACAGGCAGCTTCATGAAGCAATCTGCTGATTCACTTTTAGCACCTTTCCAGCTTCAGAGCCTACAGCTTTCCCAATCATTTCTTACCTTTAGGCTGTTCTGACGTTTCACTTTGCCACTTGATGTATGAGAGCAAATCCATTTACTGAGACTGTTGAAAAGATAACAGATAGTCTTGGGAGAGGGAATAACATTGAAAGGTGGAGGTAGCGTGCATTTGTCATCAAAGTAGCTAAGCCAAAGCTTGGCACGAGCAAACTTCCATTCCTTATCTTCATGATTCTAAAGTATCAGAAACATTAAGAGATCAGAAGCAAAAATATTAACAGGCTATTTCATAATTTTTATCTTCTCATACCTTAAAAACAGACTGCTATTTAACTTTGATTACACCTAATTTTAATATAGATTGTATAGTATTTTAATAAGTTTGTTTTAATGTGCTAATATTAAATAATTAATATACAAAACATATCTCTTCAATTCACTACATACTCTAATGTGACTGCAAAATTCAGCTATGAAGGTATAACCTCCTATCAAACACCCAAGCACCACACC